GTGTTGGTGAGGGGCTCAGAGGGCAGACCCTGGAAGAGAGTGAGGGGCTAGAGACCTGACCCGAATGAGAGAGTACCCTGACTGGCCCATGCTGGGGCCAGGACCAGGACCAGGAGGGTCAAAAGGGCCAGGGGCCCACCGCGAGGGACGCCCAAGAGCCGGGGGCCTGGGGTCCCGACTGGCCTGGAGGTGGGCCAGGGCTAGTAGCCAGAGGTCCTGGGGGGACCACACCCGAGAGGGGAAAATAGTTTTGGGGGGCTAAGTAGCCTGAATGAAGGCGGAGAGGCTGTCTGATTGGAGGGATCATGGAGGGGTCCTGTTAGGATGATTCTGGGGCCCAGAGTAGGGGCCGGTGATTATGCGAATATCAAGACGCCATCTGCGAGGCTTGGGCTGTGGTGTAGGGGAGGAAAGGAGCCACAGAGAGCGCCCCCTGGCATCGGGGCACCAAAATGGGCAGCCTCCCGCTTAATTGACATCCATCAATGAATCAATTAACATGAAGGCGTGGCGGGCAAGAAGGCGGGCGATTGGCCCAAGAACAGGTGGGTGGGCCATGGAGATCAGCCCTGAGGAGGCCCCCTGTTACAGGAGGGTTGGGAGAAAAAAAAAAAGAGAGAGAAATGGATAGCATACTGGGTTGTATTAGTAGGAGTGTTACTTGGAAATTCAAAGAAAGCAATTCTTCTGCTCTATTTGGCACTGGTGAATCCTTACCAGGAGTTATATGTCCATGTCCAGAAAGATGTGAACAGACTAGAAAGAATCCAGTGGAGAGTTCCAAAAGTGAGTTCCAAGTCCTGGGAAGCAAGACTTATGGGAAAAGACTAAGATGCATTTGTTGCACCCTCTTTCCCCCCACAAGAGAGCCCAAAATGAATAAGGGAGAGGTGGATGAAAACGGTCGAAACAGAAAAAGGCAAAGAAAGAAGGTAAATAAAATAATGAAGGGAAAAATAAAGTTTGAAAACACCAGCCTTGTACATCCCTTATGCAATCATATTGTCATTGTATGAAAATGTTAGCAACTATGCAAGTACAAAGCCATGGCAAAAGAAAAATCTCAGAGATAGAAAACAAAAAAAGGCACTAAACAGACCAGTAATTTTGCAGGACTTCAGATAATGCTCACTGTTTAACAGCTTCTAGTACTGTAAAGGTTTATATGGTAAAGAACTCTCACTCAGAATAAATTAAAAGGATTCTTTAAAAGCTAATTTGACAAGTTTCTTTTAAATTCTTAAAATATTGAAGAAAGAAATTAAAATTCTAGGTAGGGGTAGTTGTAGAATTTTTACTGATCTCCAGTTTAACAGATTAAAAAACTGAATATAAAATATTAGGAAACTACAACAGAAAAAAAAAAAATACAAACTGTGTTTTCCAGTCACTCATCAGCTGAGAATCAAAATTCCTGAAACACATGATGGTAGGTCCCAGAGCAAATTTTCTGCACATACAGATCCAGGATATCCAGCTTCTGAGAAAGCAGAAGTGGAGGAAATCCCCCAAAAGCTATGTTTCCAACTAGTATTTGTCATCTGAAGGGGAAATAATGTCCATAAAGACCGTATGAAGAAGATCCGGGCAACACTGTTGGCTTAGGATTTGTCACTGGGTGGTTTCTTCTTAGCTTCCACATCTCTTTTAATATCTTCAAGTTTCTTTGCAAGGTCAGGGATCTTTTAAAAAAAAAAAAAAAAAGTTAGACATATCAGCTATTTAGCATGACCAGCTGTGGCTCTGGAAAAGCACACATTCCAGAAAGCTTAAGAATTATTTAAAGTGTTTCCAGGACTTGCTCCATTGGTACATCATCAATACAGGAATTATACTCAGTCCCATGAAGGAGAGCAGCAAGCAGCACCTTCCATTCATGTTCAACAGTTCAATCCATCAGGTGGTGATGATGGATTTTCAAAAAAGGTCATTTTGGATGGGAGGACAGGTAAGCCAAATACAGTATTGTCATTTTTGTTGGGAATGGCAGGATAGAAAAAGCATTGAAAAAGAAAAACTAAAAAGCTAACTGCCAAAGAATACACTGCACTAAATACTTAGCTACATTTTTCTTATTAGAAATTCTCTTGGTATTTTGAGAACTTCTGTTTTTTGTAGAGCAGAAAATCAGTGTTAGACAATAGTAGGGCAGTGGTTCACAACCTTCAAAGCACCCCTCAGAAAATGCTAGATTTTAATTTTCAATTAAAATTTTCAATTAATTTTTTACCCTCAACAACAACAACAATAAATGCAATGATGCTGTTGCTAAGAACTCAGAAAGACCCTAAAAGGTCAGAATGATTTTAATTCTATTCGAAATCTCTGGGTTTATCTAAGCTGTGAATCATGTTTGCACACCTAACAGTGCTAACAGTGCATGGCACACCATGGCACCCTTGAAAGGCTCTCAAGGCACCCCAGGTTGCCAAGGAAACCCTGGTTGAGAATCACCATATTAGACTTTCAAGCCTCCAGAGAAAGATCTGTAAAAAAAGAAAATTACTTCTGGTCCATTTTGTGTAGGAGCTGACACTTGCAATATTCAGCTTGAAGTTTCAGATTGTAAAAGAAATTTTTAATCTTTAAAAGAAGATATCTGGGGGAACATTAGTTTATGACCATTCGACCTAGTTGTCATCCCTTGGGGCGTTCTGGTGAACAACTGCAAGACCGTTTCAGGCTGGACATAAGGAAGAATTTCTTTACTGTCCGAGCCCCCAAGGTCTGGAACAGCCTGCCACCAGAGGTGGTTCAAGAGCCTACATTGAACACCTTCAAGAGCAAACTGGATGCTCATCTTGCTGGGATCCTATGACCCCAGTTGACTTCCTGCCCTTTGGGCAGGGGGCTGGACTCAATGATCTTCCGAGGTCCCTTCCAGCCCTAATGTCTATGAATCCATGAAGCTTATTTTGAGGGTGGGAATCCCTTTGGTATTAGAAACACCCTATGTTAAAAAAAAAAAAAAAAAAAAAAAAAGTGATCCAGCCAAAAATATCAATACCCAAAAATGTTAAATTTCACCTGCAAGGAGCAAAGTGGGGGTCGAGGCTAGCTCCGGTGGCCTTGCCCGGGGCCTGGCCCCCCCCCCCCACAACTCCATCATCACCACCTGCAGGGAGCAGCGTAGGGGGTGGGGAACACAAGATGGCTCTGCTCCCCTGCTTTTGTTCTGGTCCCTTGCTGTTGTCTCCAGGGAGCAGTATGCCCCCTGCTCCATCCCCTGGCCATCATGGTGTTGTGTTGCCACCTGTCCCAACGCTTATTTGCATGCTGATTGGCTGTTTGTATGCCAATCAGAGCGCGAATAAAGTGTTACGGACCAAGAGACAGACAGATTAAGGCTTTTATAATATTAGAATATATATACATACATACACACACAAATATATAAAATTTAAAGCCATTTTGCCAATCCTTGATTTTATTGGGACTCTTGAAATATTGGGTGTTTTTTCTCATAATCCTCAGCCCTTCAAGATAACCAGGAGAACTGCAAAAGAATCTCAGCACTCATTTCTAATGAGAAATCTATATTCTAACACATGGAAGAACTTTTTTTTATATACTACCATGCTTAAAGTGAAGCACTTGCATTAGGGATGGTAAGATTAGGGCCTAAGTATGAATATTTACATAATAAAGTTTTTGGTTTTATGAAATTTACACAGTGGAAAAATCCCTTTGGTCTGTAACAAACCTTGCAAAGAGGATTAGATACACAGACAAATCTGTTCTCATGGCCCTTTGGTCTTTTCATAAAATAATGTTTCTGTATAAAGATCTTTTAAAACACAAACCCTTACATACAGTTATGGGGTTTTTTTGAGGGGGTAGGGGGCAGTGTAGGAGGAAGCGCACCCAAGTTAATTTTCTACAGGACTGCATGACTCGGACGCTTATAAATATATTAAATTCCAGGCTCATGATAGCAAACGAGTTACATCACCAGGGGTGAATTTCTTCTTTTTCAAAAGTAAATGTTGCCCTCTTGTGGTGAAACACCATTAGTACTACAGGAAAAACACTGCTTCATGCTTGCATTATACCTGAAGTAGCAATTGTTCCAAACTTTAAGCTTCAAGAAAATAAGATAGTTTTAGTTTTAAAAAAAAGTTAGGAACCACATTTACATGGCCTCTTAAAATAAGTCATGGGAGCAGAGGACAAGCCAGGAAAGAAACAACCCCAATGCAGCAAACACTAACAGGCTTTGCTAATATACGAGACAAGAAAATAAAGAGATTAACCAAAGGAATGCACTGTTTGATATAAATAAAAAATTGGGTAAACAATTGGGTAAACAGGGTATAAACAGGTGAAGAAGAAATCAGAATAGTTTTAAACCCCTAATTTTTCACTACTGCTAGTAAGTTTACTTTAAAATTAAAGAGGCGGGGGAGAAGAGGAGGGAGAGAGGGGAGAATCTGAAAAGTATGATTGATATCTTCTTAGTTTTAGAACTACTTAATCTGCAAACCTGTAAGAAGGTGGGTAGTAGATGTATACTTGCAAGTTATTCCACAGGAAAAAAAAATGTAAAAAAACCAACCAAACAAAGTTTTATTGAAAATAGAAGCCTTGGATTGACTCCCCAAAGCCAAGCAGAAAAGGAAGATGTCAGGTTTACCTAAAGACGTACAGCTGTCCAGAAAAGTGTTGGAGCTAGGGACATAAGTTACACATAGACTTACACATAAGCTACGTATAAGTGATCGGTAAACTGGTTCAAATCTGTAACACAACAGAAGTTCAGTGCACATCAACCGCTTTTAAAGTGGCCAAAACCGGTTTAAGATAGACCTGGATGCATGCAGTATCAGAAGTAACTGATTTAGGTTAAATAAGTTTATTGAACTTCTGTCCCAGATCCCCTTCCATATTCAAATTAAGTCACAGTCCCCAAGCATCCCATGATGCTTTGCACCTCCCCTGCAAGCCCCTCTTCCCCCCACCCTTGCAAGGTGGGCAGGCTAGCCTTGGCCTAAGCTGTCTGTTCCAGCCAAGCAGGGAGGCATGCTCCAGCACTCCCTGGCTTCCAGCCTTGGCCACTACAGGCATGTGGCTACATTTCTGGAATTGAAAGTGAATGGTTGTTCACTTACTTATAGGATCAGTCTATGCAGCATAGATTTAACTGATTCAGCCTCAGGCTTGACTGTCTGTACTTGGCCTGGGAGGGTACAAACTGTTTCACTTTCAACATTAGCACAGGGCATCTAGAAATGTTTATACACAAACAAATAGGACTGTTTGGTGGTTAGCATGGCTTACTCCCAGTTCCTTGACCCATTATGAGACTTAGGCTTTAAGATAGTTTTATAGACCAGTTTTATGGCTTTGGGAAAGATATTTCACTTTTCTGTTCCTGTTTTGCCTTCCACTGTCTTGTCTATTTAATTATAAGCTCCTTTTGAAGGCAGTGATTTTTGTCTTGATATCTGTGGTTATTATAGAAACACAACAGAGCCTTTATCTCAGCTGAGACCCCTAAGAATTACTGTAACAAAAATAATACTTACATCATAGTTCTGAGCCAGATACATCCCAACGACATTGCCAAGAGCAAAACCAAGCTAAAAAGAGACAGACAAAGAGTTTAAACATTTCTCCTTCAGAGTCCCTGGATACTTATCAGCAGAGGTGGCTAAAAGACAGGAAAAAAGACATTCCATGAAAAATTTGAAATTTGTCCCATTTCATAGGTTCCATAACATGGCACGTCTTCAAAGTTTCTCACTATATTTTGTAATGAATGCCTTGCGTACCTATTAAAATCGTAGTTCCATCTTAACCTGTGGAATATTTCTCATTTTTTATTTGTACACTGCCCAGTACAATGGGATTTTGATCCACAAATGAAGTTCCCAGATAGCAATACAAACAATAACGATGCTGGTGGAAGAAGGAAGAGGAACCTACCTACTGGAGGTTATGCATATAGTGATATAGTAGCCATAGGAACACTGGTGTTAAGATTGTGAGAAGAGTGCAAACAAACAGCTACCAAACCTGTACCCCTCCAAACACTCTCTTCCAGGCTTGTCTTTAGTTAACACTGCTTTGCAGAGAACACACAGGTAGGCCATGATACCAAGAGCCAACTATAAGAGAATTCAACTACTTATTCTATGAAGTGTCATTAGGAAAACAAATGTATAGGTCCTGACATGCTGCTGTTTCTGGCCGAGGAAAATCTCAGGTTTCACAGTACCTCTGGGAGGAAAGATGAGCACCAGAAATATACAATCAGATTTTATCAATAATACTAAGCATCCGGCAGCCCCAATTAAAACAGACCTTTATTCTCCATCATTAAATTCTATTTTATTCTTCTTCAGTGCACAAAATCACAATAAGATGTTTCTAGCCATCAATACTACAAGTCTAGCCTACTCCCTTAACAAAAAAACCAAAACAAACAATCAACAGCTATGATATTGCAATGAAATTTAACTGGAAATTATATTTAATACACAAGAGGTGCACCTGCACATTGCCCGATAGCATCATGGTGATGGCTATGCTGCAGGTGTGCTATGGCGATGTAGCGATCATGAAGGTCTACACGTGATCACCAGCTACACTGCCATAGCAATGCACTCCCCCAGTATAGCATGCTGCTACACCAATGTAGCGGCAAAATCTGTGCGCTGCACATATGGTGCAATAACCTCCCGTATTCTGCTGTGCTTTAGTACTTCCAAAAGGAAGTACTAAAGCATGGTGATGTGTAGACATGCCCAAGGTAGAATAAAATATAGCTCACTCTTCCAGAAGTGTAAACCATACACCAGACACTAGTAAAAAGCATGTTCTTGTTAGTAAGCTATTGTCACTAATGAAAACTACTTGTTTATTAATACTCTCATATGTTGACATTATGATTAACTAAATGTATGAATTTGAAGTATGGTAGTCATTTTATTTATCATTTTTAGAACTCAGGGTTTGGGGGGTTTCTCCTAGATCGAGAGAGAGAGGGAGAAAAAAAACCTATAGTGTGTTTTTAATGTGGTTTCTGGAAGAGTTCTAGATTATGCTGGTAGTGTAAACTGGAAAGAAAATGAAACTCAGTGAAGATTTTTGTATGGGATATTAATGTATGCTGTACAGAGATAAACTGGATTTAAGATTCCTTTCAAAATTGAAAGGAAATTTAGAAAAGGAACTTTCCTTTTGGCAGTGTCCATGAACTTACCAGAAGGCAAACAGACTCTCATTTGAGAACTCTCTCTTGCACTCTCTCCCTGTGGTGCGAAGAGCATTTTACGTTACTAGTCGGTGTAAGAATCTTTCAGCTTATCCTACCCCAAATCATTTTATTAAGAGGATCCTCTCATTTTCTTCACCTAGAAAGGGTTAAAAACACCTTCAATCCTGATTTGTTTGCACCTTACTTGGATTCCAAAGATGGGACTGCCAAGAAATGGCTGACTATATTGTAGGCTTCATTTTGCACTGCAGAGATCTTAATATCTCTGTGAAACCCATAAGCATGAACAAAACATGTCATTATCTTAAGTCATAGCTCAATATTACATGCAAAGGCAGTTTTGTCTTATCTAGACTTTTCAACAGCTGAAAAAAATGGGCAATACAAATTTGCATGTTAATTAAAGAAAATAGGGACTAAGTAAAGTCTGAGGGACTTCAACTGTAACCAGTATTTTAAGACACATTTAAAATGTAAACAACAGACACTTCCTTAATTCTGAAAGACAACAAAAAACAGTGTAAAAATTTGTGAGATTATCCCTTTATCTCCCTGCTCCAGTCTTAAGGGGGCAGGGAGGGGCAAGGAAAGGAGAGAGACAGATGCTCTTTCTACCCACAATAAGGAGGAAGGAACCCAGAATTAATGTGCCCTTCCTTTCTCCTCACCCTCCGCCCCTTCATCATATTTCAAACACTAATCAGAAAGTTAATTAAAAAGTGATTATTATCAAGCATTTGTAATACACAAGCTTCAGGCAGCCCCTGAGTTCAGAAACATCAAGACTTTTAAAGCTGCTTAACCTACTGGGGAGGGCTATTACCCGATGTCCTTCCTGGAACAAAGAGATACAAGGGGTTCATTTGGAAGAAATATACATGCTTTCATAATTACTCTGAAATCTTGTTTTGGAGCACGACAAGATAAAAGGCCTTATTTACTTTATAAAAACACAAGAGTGTTTTTTAGCCTTATTTACTTTATAAAAACACAATTCAAGAGTGACTGACGTTAAATAGATTCCAGATTTTGAGTAGCCAACCAATCCCAAAGAAAAATTTAAAAAACCCAGGAGACAGAGGCACTCTAATTTCATGTATGTCTTTTTTCCACCTTCTATTTACCTGTTTGTCACTGAGAGACTGGCTTTTAATATTCTCAGCCTGGGTTCAAATAAGTCCCAATAATATACTGCCTGCAGAGATAGAGATATACTTACGTATATATGTGGGTGTATATGTGTGTACGTATTAGGGGTGCACCGACAGAGATTTTTGGGGCCAATACTGACAGCCAATTTGTGATACAGCTGTGTACAGCTGGTAAATCTGTTGTGTTGGACGGGGAGAGGGGAGGGAAGTGGTGTTGGGGGGGCAGATCAATGCTCCCCGCAGTGAGGGAGAGGGCAGGGGCAGGTGATGCCCAGCCAGGGTGGGGTGTAGGATAGAGCCGCAGCTCCGGGGAGGGGGGGGGGGGGGGGATGGCTCCCGCTGCTGCTTGCACCCTGGGAGGGCATGGGAGGAGGGGTGTGCCCCCTGGATCTGCATGGTGTGGAGTAGACATGCTGCAGCTGAGGGCTGGAGCCAGGGCTGTGCCAGGCTCTTCTTGGCGGGGGCTGGGCTCCGGGCAGGGGCTACAGAAGGGGCTGCAGCCATTCCAAATTTTGCCATAGCCTCACTCCCAGCTCTGCTGCCGCCATGCACCTGGTGCAGCCCTGGCTCTTCCCAGCATGTGGGTGGAGGTGGAGCATTGAACCGGGGCTGAGCTGGGCATGCAGTGGCACTGGGAGCAGGACTATGGTGAAATCTGGGGTGGCTGTAGCCCCCTCTGTAGCCCCTGCCCACATCTGAAGCCCGCCCACCCTGCCCCGTGCACACCCAGGGACACCCCCCCCGGGGTGCAAGCAGTAGTGGGAGATGCCCACATCCCCCCCGAGGAGCCACGGCTCCATCCCGCACCCTGCCCCACCTTAGCTGGGCAGTGCCTGCCCCTGCCCCCTCCTTACCAAGGGGGGCACTGATCTTCCCCTGCCCATGACCCTTCCCTCCCCTCCCCGCTCCCCTTCCACCACAATAGACTTACCAGCTGCATGAAATCTGTTCCTCACTGCCTGAGTGCTGCACCGTGACTGCGCGCACACACGAGCATTTATTGGCCAAATTATCGGTCGCACCGGGCTGATTTCCAATACAGCCAATGTTCTTTATATCAGTACCAACCTGATATCCGACCGATGTATCGGTGCACCTCTAATATATATATACACATCTATTTATACATATGTATGAATAGATACACACACACATATATATGTATATATAATGTATACACACGTATACACACACACACACACACACACACACACATACATGTATGTATCCCAGCCTCCCCCCCGCATGCACTGTATTATTTGAACTTATTTGAACCAAAGCTGAGAATATTAAAAACCATACTCTCAGTTCTGGGGGAACGTCTGTTCACCAGAGTGCCCCCAAGGGATGACAAGATCAAATGGTCACAAACTCCTCTGCAACCATTTCAGGCTGGACATAAGGAAGAACCTCTTTTCTGTCCAAGCCCCCAAGGTCTGGAATAGACTGCCGCCGGAGGCAGTTCAAGCACCTACTTTGAACGCCTTCAAGACACACTTGGATGCTTATCTTACTGGGATCCTATGATCCCTGCTGACTTCCTGCCCCTGGGGCAGGGCGCTGGACTTGATGATCCTCCCGGGTCCCTTCCAGCCTGAGTGTCTATGAACTGATACTATGTAAAAATAGTTTCTCTTCAGTGCAAACATTTGTAGCTGTTAACCCTATTGACAGGTCACTGCTGACACATTACAGCTACACACGTAGTTGTGGAACTAAAACTTCCCCATTTTTAAATTACATGGGGGCCGGGGGGAGGGTGTGGAGTGACGAGGGAGGTAACAAACCAAGTGACTGTTTACAGGAACCAGGATGCAGCTGCTGGCAGTGGGGACAGTGGCAATGGCCAGGCTGCCGAGTCCCGAAGCAATTCCTCCCACAAGGGCTATCTTTAGAGGATGGAAAAATGTAAGATGACACTGGAGTGAGTCAGAGTAAGCTGCATTTAGCCGTCCTGCCTCCGTGAGATCCTGCAGACACAGCCCTGGGCAGCGCTTCTCCCCGGGCCCCGGGGCTGCTGGAGCACCAGGGCGCACCTCCCCAGCGGCCTTTCCCGGAGCAAGCCACGAGACGCCTCCGCC